ATAAATGGAAGAGTGCGTATTCATTTCTCAGCTTGGGTTCATGTCTGGACATGTATCCTGGCTATGCTTCACAAAAAGAGCATTTTTTGCCTGTTTTCACTGAAAAAAGAGCACTTTTTTCAGCATATTTTGAGGGACGCGAAAAGCACTAAGTGCGAATTAAAAAAAGCACCTTTGGGAAAGAGCTAGTTGCTGCCGTCGAGGCAGGCTGAAGGAATGAGCTGGATCCTTGCGGCACTGATGGTTTGCCAAGCCCCCACGAGATAGGAGTCAGCGGCCGCAGGCATTACACTGAACAGACCCAGACTGCTCTCTAACCGGCTTTGCTCGCTCCACTGTGCACTCGTGACGCGCCATGCAGCGGGGCTGAGAGAAACTCCGGCCGCAGGTGTCTCACAGGACCGGCTTGATCTTGTGCTCAGTCCTGGCGTGGTGCGCGCAAGCAACATCTTCACAGCATGCTGACCTCCAGGTACTCCGGCAGCTGATTGCATCACACCAGTCTCTCTCCTTGACAATCGCAATCTTGAGGTCAGCACGGATTGCATGTTTCCACCGCTTCTTGGGCTTGTGTTGAGGTCGGGTCTGGGTCAGTGAACCGAACAGGAGTAGCCGGGGCAAGCGTTTGGGCGACATGCGGATAACATGGCCAAGCCAAGTCAGTCTGCGAAACATAATCTTCTCTGTAACTAGCTCGGTATCACCCCACCACATTCGGCCTGTGGATTAGGGCAAGGGTTCCTCTTGCTGCCTCTTTCCGCTGATGCCAAATAAAGTCCGCAAGCATTGGTTGTGGATTACTTCCAAACGACGCACATCCCGCTGCAGGGTGTCCAGGTTTCAGAGCCATACAGCAATGCTGAGAGAACAGTGGCTGTGTATACATTACGTTTCGTGGTAAATCTCTGTTCTTAAAGACTGGCTTACGGAGTCGTCCGAAAGCTTTGGAGACTGCAGCTATGCGATGAGTGACGTCTGCAGATTATGAGCGATCAGGTGTTATGAGGCAACCAAAGTAGGTAAACTCAGTGACATGCTGCACGTCACCTGCTGCTGAGCGCAGGGGTGCCACATCCGTTTCGTGTACTCCAGTCCCAACCGCCATGAATTTAGTCTTCATTGCGTTGACCCTGAGCCCGAATGAGGTGGCAACATCAATGAACAGCTGGAGAGCAGATTGGGCGCCATTCCAATTTTTGGCTAGGAGGGCACCATCATCGGCAAACTGGAATTATGTTGCACATGTGGAGCTGGTTGCGCTAAGTCTTGCATTAAAGAGTTGATCACTGCGGTGACTCCTCACGTCAATGCCGACTTCCGGGTTGGTCAAAGCAACATTCCGCCACTGGTCCACGACTGCACACATGTAAATGTTGAACAACACCGGTGCCATTGTGCAGCCTTGCCGGAGACCCTTTTCCACAGGGAAACCATCAAGGAGCTGATCGCCAATTCGCAGCTGTGCCACCATTCCAGTGTGGAAGGCTTCAATCAAGAACACCATCTGAGCAGGCACTCCCAAACGGTGCAGAGCGATCCAAAGGCCAGCACGAGGCACAGAATCATATGCCTTGCGTAGATCAATGTACACAGAAAACCTTTGGCTTGATGTTCACGGAGTTTTTCGAGGACTTGCTGCAGTGAGAAGACACTGGTCACAATGCCTCTCCCAGGACGGAATCCACATTGGGAATCGAGAAGAAGGGAGTCCGCGAACTTCTACAACCTGTTAGCAATAAGCCGTGCATTTACTTTGCCAGCAACGTCGAGGAGTGATATCCCACGCCAGATAGCGCATAACGTCAAATTGCCATTCTTGGGAATCTGAACCAAAACGGCATCATTCCACTTCTGTGGAACTTCACCCGCCTGAGAGCAGTCTACCGCAAGCTCATGAAGCTTGGAGACGAGCATCGGGCCACCATATTTCAGTATTTCGGGCAAAATACCAGAGTATCCAGGTGCCTTCCTTGCGGACTTCCTCAATTGTTGGTGGCATAGCGAGTTCTGCATCGGTATTCCGTTGGGGGATGCTGATAAGCGCATCATTGTCAACATCATTGATGACGTTCAGCACAGTCTGAAAGTGCTCGCCCCAGCGCTCATGGGTCTCCGCGATAAAGACACACTCGTCACCATTGGCTTTCTTGATTCTAGTTGAGACAGTTGATATCAGTCCTTTCGCGGCATGATGTATGTTGTGAATGCACTCCCACGGACCCCGTTCACCATGACACCAGCGCATAGCAGCTTCAGCATTGAGTTCAAGGAATTTGCGCTTGGCCTGTCGAACAACTGCACGAGATTCACTACGTGCGCGCTGGTACGCTGTCCGGTCAGATTTGCGCTTTGATGACTGCCACTTTTTATACAATGTATCACGGTTGCGAAGAAGAGGCTCGATGTCTCCCTTCGCCAATTCAAACCAGTCTTTCTTTGCACGGCGCGCGGCTCCAAGGCAATCGCCCGCAATGTCTAATGTGCAGGACTTTAGCTGCGTCCACTCCTCCTCAATATTACTGGTGGCCCCCCACGATTCCTCCAGCCTGTCATCCAAAGCATCGCTTAGCTGCTGTCGGGCTTGGTCAGTGGTTTCACGGGCGCAATCAGCACAGGGGCGTAGAGATGTTACATCAAGGAGCACGCGTTTTGGAGCAGTTCTTGGAAACTGGACAACGCATTTTAGACGAGACTTCATAGACAACAACGAATGGTCCGTATTGCACTCTGCACTGGTGATGACACCGCAGTCGATGCAGTTGGCGCTGTGGTGAGCAGGCACTATGCAATAATCAATGCAGAGGCGTGCCTTTGTGCCGGGATGCTGCCAGGTGTACTTAGCGCAGCGGACTTTCTGGAACCAGGTGTTGCAAGCCAAACATTCATTTCTAGCAAGAAATGAAAGCAGCTCCTCTCCAGAGGAATTGAGCTGGCCGACCCCATGAGCGCCACGAACATTCCACCACAGGTCTTGTGAGGCACCAGTGCCGATACGAGAATTGAAGACACCGATTAGTACAAACTGATGCGAGTCTGGCACGTGAGAAATATATTCCTGCAACTGATCATAAAACTTATTCTTCTCAGCACGGGGTCTTGAGAACGTAGGTGCACACGCGGATGCAACATGCAGCCACTGAACACGCTTGCCACAAACAAGCGCCAAACGAGCTAGGATGAATCAGGATCCAAGGGCTGTCCACCGGCAGCCAGCAGCCTCGAACGCACGACGACACAATCCACGGAGCACCAGAGCAACACCTGGAGCCTGAGCGCAAACGAAAACGGCCGTGCTTATTGATAACTACAAGTACTTGACACGAAGCTCCGTAGCTCCATCGCCGACATCCAGCAAACCAAAATGGAAAATACAAAACGTTCAAACTATTCAAGGACTCCAGTTTCTTTGATTTCTCGTGTTTGATAGTTCGCGTGTGTATGCGAGGGTAAGTACATGGTTTTCTCGTTAGTTGCATGCAAGAGAGACGATGCGACAGAAAGCAAAGCCCTTTGTAGTTTTCTCTCTCGCACTGGTAATGGTCTGCTGTTGGAGTTGAAATGCTAAGACATAATCCTTGTTTCACTCTTCTGTGTAGTGTGAAGAGGTCAACGAACATGTAGAGCTCACTTTTATGAAGCAGGCAAGGCTGTGAGCGCTGTGGCTTAGAGCGATAGGCCTTAAATCTTACGAGATATTTCGAGTGCTATTGTTTGTTGCGAGCGCTTCGTCTTCGATGTGTCCTGCCTCTTTCCTGGCAGCTGCCCTCCTATAGGACCAACCACGAAGTGACTGTACTCATCTGCAGCCGATCAATGTTATATTGCACAAGAAGATAGCGTTTTCGCCAAGCCAGTGCCCCGCCAAAGACCATCGCCGTGTCACACCGTCGGAACGAGTTCATGATGAGAAACATCATTCGCGCGAGCGTGGTGAAGAACGATTTCGAAAGACAACATAGTCTTTACCCCCGAGACGACAACTATGCGCACGTCCTGCAAGGGGAGAATGTCACCAGCGACATCAACGAAGACGACGGCAGTATTTCGGAAACCTGGAGTCAGCGGAGGTCCTCAAGCTCCTCCGCGACCCCGTCCATGTACAGTATAGGTGACATGTCGACACGAGCGTGCGGAACACAGCATACACTGTAGTAATGTTGCGCGAGTTTGCGGAAGGAGTCCAAGTCGGGAAATCCATCAGCTCCAAAAGCTACCTGTACCTGCGATGAGACTCCAGCTTCAGACTACAACAGTCAGGACTTGTAAATAGTTGAACTTTGTGAAGCAGCAGATCGAGAAGTTAGCTGTTGCAGTATGTCGGCGCTATGTAGCTTGCATTTTTTACGGAGAGTCGATCGCCACGCGAAAGTTTCTCTCCTCAACGAGAGCTAGCTGGCCTCCAAACTCCGTCAGGGTCTGCCTAAGGTACCGAAGGTCCTTTGACTAGCTGCTGGCAGGACTCCATCAAATCCTTCAGCTTCAGCTCGGCGAGCAAAAGTCTCTCTCTCCTCCGCCATGAGCGTCATGACACACACAAACTGAATACAAAACGATGCACTTCACACGTGCTGGCTTGCACGCGTGCCCCCTTTCACGAACCCAGACAATCTTTTCGGGATTGGTCTATTAAAGTTCGCGGAGCAACATATCACACCACTTGTGTGGTTCTAAAAGCGCCATCTCCGTTCGCCGGTGTCGAGCAATGTCATCGCATGAGCTGATTGAGAAGGAACTGGTGTTGTTAGTGGATATTATAGCGTAACTTGTAGCTCTTTGGTCCTCTTTTCCTCATATAAATTACTGATATTTCTTTGCTTTGCTTTTCATCCTGGTCCATGCTGTGCATTTCGTTATACATTGCGTTGCGTTGCACCCTTTTTCTGTTCCACCTTTGTGCTCTTTCCAATAAAGGTTTTAGATAATTCGGAGTATGTTTCATATTTTTTGGGGTCCGGGATCGAGAAGTTTATTTGATTGCGCTTTTGTGTTGTTACGTCCAGGTTTATGCGACGACATTGATGAATGTAGCACAGGTGATGTCTGTGGATCTAGCACAAGCGATTGTGTAAACCAGCCGGGAAAATATACATGCACATGCAAAGTTGGGTACATCAAAAAAGGAGATAATGACTGCACCGGTAAGGGCCCTTACACACTACGTACATGTAAAACTTAACTAACGTTGCCCATGCGCCAGCCTGATCAATTGCAGTTGCACACTGACAGGTGATCTGCTTTTTACGTACATGTAGTGCGGTTCGGATGAAAAGTTCTGCTCTCAGAACGAGTGCTGTGTGTGCTTCTTTGATTTCGTTCTGCATCTTGTGTTGGAGCCATGCCCATGGAGCTCAGGTTGACTCCGGCAATGAGAAAGCGGCGACGTAAAATTGTTGCCGCCATGATATTGTAGGGCATGCAGAAGCTAGTGAAGTCGTCTGATGGCAGTCCTGTTCTTGATATTTTCTAGATGACGGATCACAGTTGCTCACATTTCATGGTCACGACGATGCTCAGCATGCGGATGCGGTGTTGTGAAACCACAATCTCTCGAGAGTGAAAGGCCTTCTCGCTTGTGACATTGTGTTCGTTCCAATGCAGTTGTATCCCGACTCTGCCGTCCCGCTGATGTTAACGACGTGGTATACGCTACAGGCGCTATGTGTGGTTTGCTGTGTGCGCTGTAGTTTTTATTTATTTATTTATTTCACTCAACTCGTGGTTCATGACCAATTGGCACGCAAAGTGCGAGAGAGGGGTGATAGCCAGCCACGGGAAGAAAAGAAAAGAAAGGAATAATAGAAAAAGAGAAGAAAGAAGGATAGACAAGAATCCAGCAATGAAATCCTATCGTACTACATTATGCGATCGGAGTGCATTTTTAAAGCTAGAAAGACATTTTGATGTCTTAACATGCTGGGGAAGTTGCAGCCAAAGGCCGTAGGACAAAAACAGAGGAGAGTTGGTAAATGCGGCTGAATTAGCACGGGGAAGTGAGAAACTATTACGAGTGGACCGGGACAGAGAAAACCAATCAGTGAATACGGAGAGATGAATGGGAATTTTACCTAGGCGAATTCTGTGGATCAAAACGCAAAGCTGCTGTTTGCGATTATCTTGCAGTGGCTGAGTATTGCTGATACAATAGAGCTCAAGACTAGGAAATAAACGCTGCTTGTTAAACAATATTTCAAGAAGAGATCTATGTTGGATTTCAAGTTTGTTCACAAGATGTTGACTTAGACTACACCAAGACTGACATGCATACTGGAAAATAGGTAATAGATACGAGCGATAAAACATAGAACGGCATGTATTTGGCAAATGAGAACGATGAGGATATAGTATGCCGAGAACACTACTAGTTTTCTTGCAAATATAGTCTACATGAGGAGCCCATGTTAGACAGTCGTCAATAATTATACCAAGGTGATTATGTTCATGGAAGATTTCTATTGTCGATGAGCTGCCAGGACATGATAAAGACACATTACAGAACTGATCACTAGCACCGGAACAGAAAAACATCACTTTGGTCTTACAAGTGTTTGGTCTCAGCTCCCAAGTCGACATCCAAAAAATGGTGGAGCTTATCTTTTTCTGGAGGTCATTAACTAGCAATTGCTTGCAACTACTTGAAGCGGAAACTGTGGTGTCATCGGCGAACAGTGAAACATTAGGGACAGACATCAGTAGATCATTGACGTAGACTAAAAAGAATAGTGGCCCCAGGATTGACCCCTGTGGCACACCAGAGTTAATTGCCTGGGGAGACGAGAGGGGGTTGCCTAAGCTTACAGCCTGTAACCTGTCGGTTAGGTAGCTTTCAAAGAAACAAAGCAGGTTGCCACCAATGCCATAGGCACCCAACTTGGCAATCAGGCCTCTATGCCAAACAGTGTCAAAGGCTTTCGCCAGGTCAAAGAAGCACATGCTAGTATGTTCTTTAAAATGTCGGGACTGCTTGATGTTTTGGATTAGGTGGACTAGATGCAGAGCTGTGGGGTCTCCTCGCCGGAAACCAGACTGCATGGTATGCAAGTACGGGGACAAGTGTCGATATGGCTGATCGTACACAATGCGCTCAAACAGCTTTGAAATACAGTACAGTAGGGAGATGGGTCTGTAGTTCGTTGCATCCGACCGGTAGCCTTTGCGCTTATAAATTGGGACCACTAATGCGTATTTCCATGCAGAGGGAAAGATTCCAGACGACAGAGAGATGTTAAAGAGCAGCGATAACGGATATGCTAGGCTGTCTTGGAGGTGTTTCAGGATTTCGTTTGGTATACCATCGTAACCAGGAGACTTCTTATTGGGGAGACTGCGTATGTATCTGGTTACAGTACGGGATGAAATCGTCAGCGATGTAAACGTTGACTCTACAGGTATTTGGTGGATAAGAGGAACTAACCGTCAGGTCTATCCTTAACGCAGAAGCTGGTAAACTGCTCATTCAGAGCAGCCGCAATATCAAGAGGCGCAGCGGCGGAACTTTGGTCAGACCGTGTGATTGCTGTTGGACTAGAGCCCAATGACGATGCTGATTTACGAAGAGTTCTTATAAATGAGTGAAGTGATGGACGCTGGCTGTCGGTGAGAGAAGTAGTAATGGACTGGATGTATTCTTTATGGGCTACACGTGATAACGTTTTTGCTATATTCCGCTGACGTTTGTACTGCGTTGCATTGGACGGGGTAGGGTATTTTTGGTAGATGGTGTAGAGGTCATGCTTTCTCTTAATGCCTGCCCTGAGCACTGGTGTCATCCATGGTGGATCCTGGCGTGAAGGGCGGCTTCGGTTTCTGGTGGTTGACTGGTGATCGCGGTGAGAAGAGCAGCCTGAGAGAGACGATTCGAGGACAGACGAGAAGTTAGAAACGGCTGTATCAATATCAAGGCCGCATAAAAAGTCACTCCAGTGAGTTGCGGCAATTTCAGCATTGACGCCTTCCCATTGCGATTGAGTGAGCAAGTAATGGCTGAAGCAAGGCAGTGCAGTGTCAGATATGGACTCTGGAGACTGTGCTATGTCTTTAGCTATGGAGAGCCTTCCGAGGACGATTAAGTGATCGGAGGCACCGAGGGGGCTCAGGGATTCAATGGATGTGAACTTCTCGGGAATGTTTGTGGCAACCAGGTCCAGGCAGCCACGGGACCCATTGGATGTAAGATGGGTGGGGAACGTAACAAGTTGAGACAGTGCTATGGAGCGAAAAAGGTTACACAAGGCAGAGCCTGCAGCAGATGTTGAGTCGGAGGCACACCAGCTCTGGCAATGGGCAATCAAATCACCAGTTACAATGGTAGATGATGGAGCAGGTAGCTTAATGAGAGCAGTCCGCATAGTGTCTACAAAATATTGTAGGTCAGCAGCGTGCTGGTTTGGGGGTCTATACAAGCAGGCAAACGACAGTGGTTGGGATGAACCTATGGGAGTAGCTTCAACAGCAAATGCTTCAACGTTCTGTTGGCGAAATGAGTGAATCTCTCTCACTTTGCTGAAGGCGGTAGTGAGCACCAGGATGGCGGCACCCCCATAGCCTCGGAAGGGTTCAAGGTTAGAGGGAGTTTGCGGTCGGTTACGCCGGAATACTGCATAGTTCGGCAAGTGTTAAGGTATGGTTGGCGGTGAGCCCAGTCTCGGTGATGCAGATAATGATTTTTTTATCCCATCCCAACTTCTCTGTACTCGGTCCTCTGATGCCGCTTGGTGGACGCCAGCTTGCAGCAAGGCCGTGAAGGCGAAACAGAGTGCCTGGAAGTCCCTCAAGAGACGACCAGACTCGCCCCAATGTCAAGCTAACTGTACTCTCGCTGTCCACCAGTCTTCTGAGTGCCTACGTGATGCCCTGAATCACCATCTAGCAATAGTCCGTGCACGACTCCAGACCGGCAGTCTTCGCGACAAACAGTGGCGGGTAACCATCAAGCAGTCCATCGGAACCTCCCGAAATAGCTCCATCCTGATTCTTGTCGAAACTGCTGGCAAAGAACATGCCACGAACATCGAGAAAGCAAACTGCCTCGGTCACTACTTTGCGGAGAAATGTAGCCTTGGTGCCAATGACCTGCCAGACACACCTCTGCCCCCTATTCGCCAACGCACAGGCAATAGGCTGAAGACCGTACACTTCCGCCCTGCCACAGTCCAGCGAGCTCTCAAGAACCTGGACACTTCTAAAGCAACTGGCCCTGATGGCATTCCGGCGCAAGTGCTCAGGAAGTCAGCACAGTCACTCGCCAGCCCTCTGGCAAAGCTATTCACCCAGTGCTTCCGGGACGGGGTGCAACCTGCATCCTGGAAGATCGCGAACGTTGTCCCTATTTTCAAGAAAGGCTCCAAGTCTACCCCGAAGAACTCCCGTCCAATTGCCCTCCTCTCTATACTCTCTAAGGTGATGGAGGCCATCATCAATCGCAGCATCACTAACTTACTGGAAAGCAATCAGGTCCTCTCGGGACGGCAATTCGGGTTCTGACGCGGCCTGGGCACGACTGATCTTCTCCTCTCACTGCAGCATGAGTGGAGTCGATCGTCCAATGCCGGGGGTGTGATCCAAGTTATTGCTGTCGACGTGGCCGGCGCATTTGACAAAGTGTCGCACCGCGGTGTAGTTCACAAGGCCAGATGTCTGGGGCTAACTGGCCACCTGCTTTCATGGTTGAAAAACTACCTAGAGAGCCGCCAGATCCGTAGTTGGTGGACAAACATCAGCCACACACGCCATCCGAGCAGGTGTGCCTCAAGGAAGCATCCTGGGGCCCACTCTCTTCTTGATCTTCATTAATGACGCTGAGGATCACCTTCCCCAATCGACTAGCCTTGCCACGTACGCAGACGACACAACACTCTACAAGTGTATTCGGTATCTCGGCAACCTCGCAGCTGACTGTGATGATCTCCAGACCGCCGTCAATGCCCTCCCTGCCTGGGGTGCGACCTGGCGAGTGACATTCGAGCACGCCAAGTCATACCTACTCCACGTCAGCCACCACCGTCAGCCCTGGGACTGCCCTCCGGTCACATTCCAAGGTGAAATGGTTCCTTAAACCCAGTGCCTGAAGCTACTTGGGATAGCCTTCGACAGTCAACTGACATTCTGCCAGCAGATTCGACAGTCAGCCCTGCGCGACACA